ATATATATATATATATATATATATATATATATATATATATATATTGCTATTCTTTATTTAAGATAGCTTATATGGTGCCAATGAATGTATAATAAATAAAACTACAGTTGCTGCAAACCGCAGCCGCAATCTTAACTACCAGTCTATGCATGCTGCAACAACACAAAACAAACGTTAGAATGTGCATGGATGTGCACTTCGTCTGCAACCTTCGCCGGAGATCTGAAGTCCTGAATCTCTTGCAGGTGAAGCGTAATAGAATTTTGGATGCTCGCCTTTCCGACATCTGTATCGGCACAACTGCAGCTCCTACTTACCTCCCAGCTCATTATTTCCAAACCAAATGTTCTAAAGGAAGCTCCAGGGAGTTCCACCTGGTTGACGGTGGAGTGGCCGCTAACAATCCGGTAAGAGCTCCTCCTGAATCATTCGACATTCATCCGCGTAGAAATTACTAGTGCTAATCACTCCAAGCTGGATTTTCTAGGCACTGGTTTCTGTCGGAGAAGTGACGAAGGAGCTACACAAGAAGAACCCGGATTACTTCCCCTACAAGCCCATGGATTACCGCAAGATTCTGCTGATATCGTTAGGTACGGGATCGGCCAAGGTCGAAGGGAAGTTTAGCGCGAAACGCGCGAGCAAGTGGGGAGTTTTGGGTTGGCTGCTTAGTAGTGGATCGAATCCTTTGTTTGATGTGTTCATGCAATCGAGTGCTGACATGGTTGACATACATCTCTCGGTCGTCTTTCAAGCTCTCCAATCAAAATCGAATTACCTTCGCATCGAGGTATGAGCTGTTCTTGGTGTTGTCTGAATTCAATCTGGTATACCTGACACTACTGACGATGATGTTCTTCTTCGTAGGATGACACCTTATCTGGGACAGTGTCGTCCGTTGACATCTCCACAAAAGAGAACCTTGCGGATCTCGTGAACGTCGGAGAGCAGCTCTTGAAGAAGCCGGTCTCAAGGGTGAACTTAGAGACGGGCATCTATGAGCCAGTGGGGAACGGAGAAGGAACAAACGAAGATGCACTCAAAAGGTTTGCTAGGATTCTATCAGATGAGAGACGGCTCCGTGAATTACGATCTCCAAGCGTGAAATCGCCTTGAAACCATATCGGCGCCGTTCTCTGTGACAAAGTTGGATGTGTGTGGGTGGCATCAAATCAGCTGAAACTTTGATCACTTCTTCCTGTCCGCAGAAATCAAACTTTGATCATCAAATCAACAAACTTTGATCACATGAAATCGTGATGAACAGATCAGAAATCAAATTCGGGAATGGTTTATTGATTTCTTGTAGATTCATGTACTTTAGGAAATTAATGTATTCTTTTATTACATAGATTTGTTGTATTACTCCCTCTACTTTCCTGACATGGACACATATGTAGACAATGGAATCAATAAGAATCATCAACTGTTGGAAGAAATTACTGAGCCTTATGAACATACTGATTCTACTATTTTTGTGAAAGTTATTAAAGAGAGAAATGATCTTTTCGCCTATGTTGTCAGCAAAAGATACTGAGGGTGGTCAAAAAACTCATTTTAGTTCACTATGAAAAGTGGTAATCTATTATAGAAGAGACAATTAAAGGTTACTATAAACATACGTATGATACATATTTGAAGACCGCTGTACAGTGTGCATATAGGAACCCAAGACCTACCTAATTAATCACCTGTTATATTAGATCTTAATTTGCATGTAAATGACCATAATTTCCAAGTTCTAATTAATCCATCTCATCACCAATTTTACTACTCAACATACACATACGATAGATGTACAATGAAGCATATGTTTTACTGCATGCATTCATATATCTATGCCGAGCATGATTTAGTCCTAATTTTATGTTATATTTTACTAATATGATAAACTTTAGTCAACATTTACTAAGTCTACTAAGTTACAGTAACAGTGTCACCTAACAATCAACCAAATTAATCAAAACAACCATTCTACAAAGAGTAAGTCTCTTGACTTGACCTTTGGAAGGTCAAACAGGGTAATTTTGTTGACGAGCCGCCATAAGAATATTTTGTCCGTGTTGGCGAGCAGCCATCATGTTTACATTGTTCTATTTTTATGAAGCTATTAAGACCACATGTGTATTTATGATCTTAGGTGACAAGATAGGTATGTAAGATAGAATTCCAACACGGTTGTATTCTATATGGTCAGTTGCATGTGGAACATGATATGTAAATGTACCAACTAGTCAAACACCACTTGGACTCAATTCAACTCTCTTGGGTTTAAAATATTAAAAATATCAAGATACTAAATATAAAATATTAAGGTTAATATGAGAAAGATCTTTAAATTTCTTTATGACTAAAATGGTTTATGTAGATATCAAATGTAAGCAATAAATATCATGTAAATAAAATAGGATAAATTTATGAAAAACTTTAATTTTTCACTTATTTTGATAAAATATTTCTTTTTTATTTTCTTCATACATAATATTTCTTATTTTATAAAAGATGAAATTATCCTTAACCTACATACATCTTGTAGGTCACTACATCTGTCTTCTTGCCCAATGTCCTTCTCCTCTCATCCATCACTATTGCCACACCTTTCTCCATGTTGTTCCTAATATAATTTAGTATTAGCATAAAAATCATCCTTATACTATTGCTATATAAAAAATTTTAATATTAACATCTGAAATCAAATAACAATAAATCAAATTTATAATGTGTATCTTTTGATATAATTCAGAAAGCTTTTATCTAATTTGCGGATGTACCCGAAAGCTATAGCGATGCCAATATGTGAGGCGAACTAAACTCGCCTTTTCCTATATTTCTATTTTTCATAGAGCCATTATGAACAATAGATTAGGAACAAATGGAAGATAAAAGTAGATTTGTAATATTGACTAAGGGGAGATGAGAAAAGATATATAATTTTTTAATAATATCATGTCTCTACATATATATATATTAAATCCCTAAGAGATTCTACTTTCTATAGACGAGAGCATAAGGTCTAGGATAAGTAATTAAGAGAGTTTCTCCGATCAAGATTATCTCATAAGGAAATTTATCATAATTGAACTTTCTTTCTATTGATCGATAATCATAATTAAAATCCAATCAGATTTATAATATATCATACTAAATTAGATAGGATCACATAATCTAATATTCTCCCACTTTATCCATTAATTGATAAAATATAAAAGGGTTCAAAATAAATAATAAATAAAATAAATTTATTTAAAAATAATTTTACCCAACTAAATTTTAAAAATTTGAAAATCATTTATATATATGTATGAATTTAAAAAAAGGGCCAATAAGTCTAATAAATATAATAGTATTATAATAAATCTTACTAACAATACGAGTCATAACGGTTGTATGTCATCAATATTATACTTCCTTCTATATTATACAGTATTATTAGTATTTTATAAAACAGTCCAAAATGACTATCTTGTCGAGGCAATCCTGTTATTCATATTCAACCATAATACAAGATAGTAAAAATAAATAACTTTAATTATATAAATAAAAATGTTAATTATAATGTTCACTCAAACATACTTTACTATTGCTCATAAACCCAATCATAATAATATGTTTGTTCAAATACTTTAGGCTATAAGTTTTAAGTGAATAGATCAACAATTAATACAGTAGAATTAAAAATTTTAATTGATATTAATTATATCTTGACTCTTTTTATTTAATCATAAGATACTTTATCTCATAATGTGTAAGGTTTCAATAGTACTTATCATTCTTAGAGAAAAAAACTGCTATAATATATCACAAAATATCTTTAGTGACTTAATACTTAAGTATGACCATATTAAGTCCATATATAAAATTTTACATTCATAAAGATTAATTAGTGACCTCAAAGCATGTTACAAAATCAACTTCTATTGTTAATAATATAATAATATATTATTATATATTTTTTTTTTATAAATTATCCCTCCAATTAATATAGATATAAACCGTAAAGTGGATTTCCTATTATTAAGGTAATTTATAGAATCAATGCATGAAAATATTATAATTTTAAGGTGATATAATTTCATATATATATGAGCATATAATCTTTCGTCCCTTCTAAATATCTTATTATTTTTTTTATAGTCTTTTAGTATTTTTATTTCTAGATAACTATAATATCTACCTAGTATTTTAATTGTAAAACTGATATTTGATCTGATATAAGTTTGAGCATATAATAGACTTTCAACTACACATACACAAAGAATATTTTTTTAATTTGATTCTTTTTGAAGTCATTTTAAAAATACTTGTCTTGATTAAAATTTTTTACTTTTATTATTTCTCAAACAAATTTGTATACTATATCTCTCCAAGACTTAGTTAATATATCTTTTATGAGATAATCTTAAGATCTATTCTTGAATATCTCAATACCAATAACATAATATGTCTCATTCATATCAACCATCTTAAAATTCTTAATGAGAAATTTTCTTGTTCAGTACAATAAACTAAGATCAGTATTAGTAAACAAAATATTATCTATATATAAGACTAATATAATAAACTTACTTTCACTAATCTTCAAATATAAATACTAATCAACAATATTTATTTTAAATCTAAAGAAAGTAATGATATCAAGATATTTTATATACCATTGTCTAGAAGCTTATTTAAGGTCATAAATAGATTTATTAAATTTATATATCAAATTTTGTATTTCTTTTATTTTCTCTATGAATCTATTAGGTTAAGCCATATAAATCTAAGGCCCCATTAAAAAAACTTGTTTTCATATCATATGATTAACTCAAAATCATAACGAGTCACTAATATCACAATGATTTTTAACGAATTCATTTAATTTTTTTTAAAAAAATATTGTTATAATCGATGAATTCTTTGAGTTCGTTATATCGTTTGATATTGTCATTGTAGGTATATTTATATAATAGACTCTTTTACAATTATTAGGCAATCCAATGAGTTCTTAGATACTATTCTGACGTATTGATTTTAACTCTTTTTTTATTATATCATCATTTTTTAGAATTATTATAGCTTGTGAAAACAATAACGGATCATTGTGATTCCTATAACCATTGCACATAGTGGCGCTGCATAGCCACCGCAAGGCTGTTGAACCCTATAGTACTTCCACTAGGTACACAATTGTTGCCCACGATTGGGTTGGCGACCACCAAATGTTGTCACCCTTAATAATACTATTACCACCAGTAAGATATTGTCAGTAGGCTATCGATTAAGCATAAGAAACCTCACATTGCTTGTAAGTAGGCAATATGATAGATTGGATATCAACAATATAAATGAATCATTCATGTCTCATAAATAAAAACTGAATAACACCTTTTCGTTGGCAAAAGATGTTAACAAATAGATCTTAAATATTTGATTTTATAAATATGACTCTAATACTAATTGTAAATATAAAAACCATTCTTATGTGACTGTCATGTGAAAAGCTTTAATGTTAAAGTCTAAAGTCAAATAACAATAGATCAAATTTATAATAATTATCTTTCGATACAATTCAGAAAGCTTTTATTTGATATGCGGGTGTATTGTTATCGGATCTAAAAGCTATAGCGATGCCGATCTATAAGAAGAACTAGACTCGCCTTCTCCTCTTTTCCTATTATTCATAGGACCACCGTGAGCAATGGATTAGGGATAAAGGGGAGATGAGAGAAGATTTATAATATCTCAATAATATCACGTATTCGTATATCCATACTGAGTCCCTAGGAGGTCATGTCCTTTTATAAGCAAGAGTAGAGGGTATATGATAAGTAATTAGGAAAGTCCTTTCTATCAAGGTCATCTCCCGAGGAATTCTATTATAATTTGACTTCATTTCTATTAATTGATAACTATAATTAGAATATCATTTGATTTATAATATATCTTATCTAATTAGATATGGTCACATAATCTAATATCTCGTCTATGGTTCTTCACGTAATCTTATCTAATTGACTCCTAAGGAGGCCCTTCATGTGTCATCCCTTTCTATCGAATCTTGCAGCATTGGCTCCCCATGGAGTTGGTAGTTATGCCTTCACCACCACAGTAGAAGCAGCCTCTCCATCATCAATCGACCCTTTTCTCTCTATTGCCCTCCCCTCCCCTTATCATTTGCAAGCCCCATGTTGTCCTCCTCTTTCCCCCCACTATGTTCATT